TGGGATACACTGTCGATAATGGTGAATAGAATAGCATTCCTAATGAATAGAGCTACTCCCCCTCCTTTACGCGTTTGTGTTCTATTGGCCTTTACTAATGTAAGACCCTCGAAATCAAGTTCACTACTATCTATAGACGGCGTCAGCCATGTTTCTGTGACTGCGATTATGTCCGGCCTAGTTGAGTCAATCTGTACACCTAGTTCCGGTAGCTTATTTAGTAAGCTCCGGGCGTTGGTATAACAGATCCGAAGCCTATTTAGGTTGCCTCGTGCTTCATCCAGGGTGGCTTCGGCATCATCCTCTGTCGAAGCCTCACAACCCGAAAATTTACAATTTTCAGGTCTTTTTCGCCAGCGTCTAATCTGAGCTGCAGTTCCTTTTTGGCTTCCCGTCTTTTAACACGGTCCGCCAACGGTAAGTCCTTACGGAGAAAAACTCCTGAACCCTTTAATTTGTGTCCATTTTCTAAGATTAAGTCGCGTTCGAAAACGACTTTTAGTAGTCTAGACTGATTTGGTTTCAGATGCGCTAGATTTCCTAGTCTATACACCTTTAGCAAGGTGACTCCGGGGAGGTTTTTGGGCATAACTTGGTTGAGTAGTTGTTTTATCAACACAATGTCATGCTTAAAACGAGCTTTCGGTTCTAAGCTGTCACTCTCCTTGACACTATGGAGAATGACTGATCTGTCGCTGTGATCAGACCTCGGCTTGTCGACCCTTTTGGTGGGGGTTTTTTTACGTCATTTTGGCGTTTTTTTCTTACGACCCGTACCCAATCGCCAACGTTCTTTGGAGTGGCAACCACAGTCGCGTCAGGTTAACAGGCTATTTGCATCCAAACAGCACTGTTGACAGAGCCATATGCAGCCATTCTTACTGAACCGCTTAAAAGCTGCAGGCGTTAGATTCCTGCAAACTTCGTGGTACCAACCTTTGCACTCATAGCACTGCATGCCGCTATCAACAGGATATCGACATCCTGAGCGATGGCAAATGCTTTTGATGCATCTTCCAGTCATTTTAGGATGCGAAAGTGAGTGTTGACTACAAGTAGAAAAAACTATAAATAGTTAAGACCAAAGTACTAACAGACACAATAGAAAAACAAAGGTACTCTGGAGTACCGACGATAAAACTATTTAGGATACCAAAAATGATACTCTAATAGAATACTTTAACTGAAAGAAATTCAATCAAAATTTAAAAACAGTAGCCTTTATACTTTAATAACGATCAAAATAATAGAATTTACTAAACGAGGAAAAATACCACTAAAATTTTTAAATAGCGCGCTTTAGTGTGACAATATGTGACAATTTCCATTGAGTTTGTTTAATTCAATGAGATTGATAATGAATAGAAGACACAGTGTTTGATTGTGTTGAAAATTACCCAGTGATTATGATGTTTATTTCCTTCATCCCTTACTATATGATGTTACAAATATATAAATGGGTTATATTAATTGATTACTGAGTAGTGACCACTGTCGTGTTTGTCTAATCTGGATGGATGTGTCACTACAATACTCATATCGCTGAACAGCCGACGTTTCAGTGACATTTGCGATTATTGCAGCCAACTTTACTGGTGCTTTTATTATACAGTTTGCGGCAATCATTACAAGATGCCTTAGTCTTAATCTGGATCAAGCGATAAAGGTTCCTATTCAAACAAGCGTCTTCCTTCAACATATATTACATCGTAGTACATCACGATAGTCTGCACAAGGTCTACAAGTCATTTGATCACTACAATTTCAAATGAAGGACTTTCTCAGTAATCTCACTTACTAATAAACAGCGTGCTCGTCTTCAACTTCATACAGCATCTGATATTTTTTTAGTCAGACTAGAAACGTGCAGGAAGATTGGGAGACACACAGTGCATCTGGTGTGAAGTTAAATATTGTTGGAGAAGTACCATGCATTGTTTCTAAAGGTGATGTAACGACAAACGCAACAATTATAAACCCTGTGTATGGATTTCGTAACTATAACGATGATTTCGATTCTGCTAAAAACTATAAATGCCTAACAGTTTTGTGCCATAATTGACACTGTTTCGAATAACATTCCTTCTACTTTTCTTCTAACTTCTGATTTTGCGAATTGGGAGGGTACTAGCGTTCGAGTATTCATTCAAGTATTACGCGACATTCTAAGGATCTAAGTTCAAGGTATAACAGCTAGTTTCCTCAAGAATGTAAAATACATTATGTTGATGAGTGCCGTTGCTCAGAATATCGATGAATACTTCGTAACTGAATCATATATATCTAGCAAAACAAAACAGCACCCAAAAACAGTTAGTACGAATTCAAGGTTAGACAAAATTTCCTACAAGTCACCTGCAAAGCGATGACAGGTTGAAATTCACAAGTAACCAGTAGAATTTACAGAAATAACATGGACTATGTGTAACATTGTACTGTTTGATTACTGAGCTGTATCTAATGTTATGTTATAAACCCACTAATGCTAATCGAATCGCATCTACTAATGTGTAATGTGATCATTAACTACTTAATATTAAGATGATTGGAAGCAATGAACAAGAAGTCTTGACTATCGGATTTGTGACAGTGGGTTTTCGTCACCGATCTAAATGTCCTCCATTGTATCCTCGAGGTACATTCTTCAGGCTGCATTCGAAAACAGGACACTTAAACTGATCTTCATTCATCCTTGATCATTTGAAATGTTCACGTTCACGGTTTACTAGACTTTCATGTTCTTCCTAGTCATCATCACTGGCTCATGTTATCTTGGGGCACCAATAGCGAACATTGAACAAGGATGATATTTCACTATAGATATGAGACAGGAAATCAGTTTTTGCATCAGAAGAAAAATCCTTTGGGTTCTTCGGAAGAATGAAGTTACTGTGACATTTACGTTCAACCGTGACAAGTTTTCTTTGAAGTATTCTGACATTAGCGGCATCAACAAATATGTTGAGATCGACCATGAACCAGGATTCCGATGTAATACCAGACTTACAGTCGAAATGAAATTTATCAACAGAATCGATGATGGAATCGGTATGTGATTTACATGATTCTTTAGTAATCCCTTAGTGGGTGGTGGTCATTTGCTTAGTTTGAGTTTCTAGGATACGAATTAACGTGTATTGGCCCTCAATGGACAGAGATACTGTGAACAAATGTCGTAATTGTTCATCATGTCTGCAAGCTACTAAAAGCTTTTCAAAATGCAAACCACAACAGTAGCGTAAGCCTGCTGGACTCTAGGAGAGACGCCACCCAGATTTCGCTGATCCAGATCTAGCTATTGTGAATGCATTTATGAAATGGCCGGAAGCATATAGTATACCTGACTGCACAGCGTCAGAAACAGTCAACAAGTTGTTTAGTTTGTTTACTTGTTTTAGAGTCCCAGAGACCTTAGTGACTACAAATGGTTCAGACTATTTCCAACACTATTTTTCCATCTAAAATAGTTGATGCGTACAGATGAGACCCAGATATTCGAAGATTTCATGTTAGCGATAAAGTGTTCGTCAAGCCATACCTAGGGAAGAATTGATAAGAAGCGGGAACAATTGTACAAAGAATGTGAAACGTTTTGTTCGGCGTCCGAGGAACTTCTGAGATTTGTATCAGACGCACGATCCAAATCCACAAAGATGAAAGAATGATGGATATCAGAGATAATCAGGTGAGTCTTTCATCAGAGTTAATCACAGATACATCAACGACACATACGGGGGGGATAGCAGAAAGAACATAAGACTGAGGACTTGGATAAGAAAGACAGCAACAAGCAGACCAGTTGTGGGGCTGCAAGTGAACCCAAGGAGAAAATGCCTTTCCGTGGAGGTGTGACACGACGGAGCCTCCAGAGGCTCTAAAAGAGTCTAGGAATTTCCACCCATTCGGAATCTGATGGAGCTTCCTAGAATATCAACGTGTCATGATACTATTTGACGGTAGCATAAATTAACTCCTTGCGAATTGACCTGGCTATAATGATGTTATAACTACCGCTAATGTATATAAATACCCATCTTTTTCCGTAAATTTTCTACTCATACCAGATAATCGCTTCTTCTGCTTCTCCTGTGTTCTGATTTGCAACCGTAGGGGTTCTGTACATCCGAGTGCCGTTAGGTGAATATCGTATTCTGTGACAATCAAGCAGAGAACGTAACAGTACTAACTCGGAATACCCGAATTAGTGCAATTTTAGACAATTACAACTAGATGAGCGAAAATGAACATATTATATTTAGAATTCGTAATAAGCGGGCAATCAAATACGAAGGAATCATTAGTTCGTACAAACACCTCATCCGTTTAAATTATTTGCTAGAAACAGATTATGCTTGCTGGTTATATGCATAGTTACCTGTTCTGACTAAGACTTTGTGTATGGCAGAATAAGGATTTATCTAAGACATTCATCTCTAAGAAATTACTTCACACTTAATGAACTCATTGAGATCAAAGGAAAAAGTAGGTGTTTGTTTGAAGGAGAAATGTAAATCGATGTAACTGTATGACAACTGTCGACTACTCATTATACCTATGTGAAAAACATTGAAGAAGTACAAACGTCGTTGATCAGCTTCGTCTCGGATATAGTTTCTGTCAAGTTTTAATATTTCGAGTTCAAATACGGGCAAAATTACTGTGGTGTGTTCTACTGATGTCGATAGATATAAGTAGTATGTATCATCAGTCGAAAGTGAAAAACCTGGTGTCAGAAGGTGAATAAGATCGAAGAAATGAGAACAAGAACAGAGAATGATTGGTGTAGAGACGGAGGAACAATGAAGTTTGAGGTGATTGACTGATATTTTGCAAATGAATTATTTACTATATGGTTCTCAGATTAGACTATAATGTTCTGTAAATTTGTATTCTAATGTACTTCATTGATCCCACTTTTGTTCTTCTTCACTATAATACAAACGGCTCGTCCGTGTAACGAGAACTAGTGTATAACACCATAACACAGAGAGAAGACAACTTATGAGAAAACTTTATATTCATGATAGAACAAGCAGAACGTAACGAAATAGTTCAACTTCGTATATGCCGCAATAGAAACATCACTTACAGAATTATTGGAAAAATTCATTTGATGAATCACATAAGAAAAAAGCAATTTCGGTTACAATTTTTTAGTATTGCAAATCAAATGTGAATGATCTTGTTATCCGAATAACAGTTTCACATAACAAAAGATAACACTCATGGACAATCACTAATGAATGTCTATAGACAATTACATATCCATTTGTTCCTCTGAAATACATTGGCTTGTTTTATTGAATACATTGCATATAAGTAATATTTCACTTGAAATGATCATATTCATCCAAATCATTATTGTTGCAAGTACTAATCCAAATAGAAAATATTGATCATCTCGAAAACCGAATCGTTTATCACCTGGAAAAATTGCTTGAGTTGCAATTGCCAATTCCTGAAATCAATGTACATATTGATCAGTATCATGTTTCAACTTCAATCATCTAAAACCACGTGTATAACCATAGTTTAAATTATGTATGTTACTGTAAATTGCAATCACGGCTATGACTAAACACAAAATATTATAATCAGAAGGGTGGTTTATGGAGATTTTAGTAATTGAATGGTTGAATTGATTTTAAAGGTGGAAACTCTGGAAGCATTAGATCGGTAGGTCCCGGTTTCAAATCTCATGGGTGAGATCGTGAATGCGCACTGTCAAGGAGTTCCATACTAGAACAAAATATTATAGTTTATGTGAGCGTTCACCTTAATGTTATTTGTTCTTTATTCTTTAGTTTGCTAACTTCATAATGTGAAAATGATTAGTGCAAAAGCATTCTGTGAAATTGTAGTGAGTTATTTAAGAATGGATGTGTGTGTTCTTATTAGCCAACAACTCTTAATAATTACCTCACCTACTACATCATTGTATTTGTCAACTGGTCAATATCTCACAACAATTTTCAATTCCCTAAATCTTCCTTCAGTACATCAGAAAACCAGATGACAGTGCACAAGTACTTTCTACTCATCATGACATAGTTCACATAGTAATTGTGTAATTCATGTAAGAGCATTCTGAATTTGAGAGTTCTCACGTGTACTCATCAGTCGATGTAACACTGGTCATAATGAAATAGTGCACAGTGAAATGTTTCTTTTATATAGTTTTTCAGAAGTTCATATCCATTAACATGTCACAAATGGAACACTGTAGCTTTGAGTTTCGTGAATAGTCTTCAACCAGAATAAACATCTAGTTAACGTTCGTTCGTACACATCTCCCAATTCGACTGTTTCGCCTTTTAACAATCCATTAGTTTATCATTTTCATCATTAATCCAATTCAGATCACTCCATTGTTAATAGCATGTACAGAGGATAATTTAAAGAACACCCTCATCTAATGACATTTGCACATTTACCCAGAACCTTGAACAAATATGCGTTACAACATTACAACATTAATCATTTGTCATTAGTTGAGGTGCAATACAGTGTTAAGTTCCATATAACTGGAGACCTTGAAAACTTGACCCTGACGATACGGTGACTACGTTCCGGTCACTATACTGTAACTGATTAGTGTATCTTCAAACAAACAACTGTTCAAAACAGTGGTGATATTTAATGAGAAATACTAAGAATAGGATTTACAATGCTACGTAATAAATCTTCGACGAGGAACAAAGGTATGAAGAATATCTAAACACTTAGTGTATTTTGGATAGAAGCTGGTAGAGAAATCTTGCGCACATATTTCATCTAAACCGAACAAAGACTCAAACTGATCATGACTTCTAGACAGAACGAAACACTGATAGACAGAATATCCTGAATGAAATCAACTTGTCATAACATAGGAAGTGAAGACAATCGTTCAGTGGGTCCATATTTAGAGGTAAACAATTTTCAATTGATCATATCAACGACACTACAATTATCAGCCATAAATGTGATAACAAGTATTTGAGTTATACTTCTGAATTACTTACATAGATGATTGTCAGTAGCATTCCAAATCCAGAAATAATCAAGATTACCTATCAAATAGTAATAATAATAATTATTATTATACAAATCGAAATTTATCTGGATGAATAATTGCAGATTTAGTTTCATTATTCAGTGACAATCAGAGGTATCATTATTCTCTCAATACCAAGGAAAATATTCCGCAGGGTGTTATTCAACAGAATCGTGGACTCCATAGACGACCAACTTCGAGACCAACAGGATGGATTCCATAAGTATCAACGGCGTACACACCGAGTCGAAACTCTACGGACCATTGTGAAGAAATCAATTGAATGGAATTCATCACTCTACATCAACTTCATTGACTACGAGAAAGCATTTGATAGCATAGACGGGACAATACTACAGAGGCTTTTTTGACACTACGGCGTGCCTGAGAAGATAGTCAATATCATACTGAATTCTTATGATGGATAGCTGACAGAATCGTTGGTGGTAAAGGCCGGTTTCAGGCAAGGTTTCTCACTCTCACCTCTCCTCTTTCTCATGGTGATTGATTGAATTGTGAAGACGCCAACATCTAAGGGAAAGCATGGGACATAGTGGATAGCAAGGATAAAGCTGAACTATCTGGATCTCGTAGATAATCCGGCTTCTCGATTCCACATGCAACAAAAAATGCAGGAGTAAGTGATCAGTGTGGCAGCAGCCTCAACAGCAATAGGCCTCGACATACACAAAGAGAAATGCAAGATTCTCCGATGCAACAGCGTACACCGATCAAATCACACTTAATGGAGAGGCTTTGGAGGATGTGAAAAACTTGACATATCTGAGCAGAATCACTGATGAACACCGTCGATCTTACGCAGATGTGAAGGTGCGGATTGGTAAAGCAAGTTCAAGATGTTGACAATTGAAGAACATATGAAACTCAATACAATTGTCTGTCAACCAACACCAAATACATAATTTTCAATACAAACATCAAAACAGTTCTAGTGTACAGGGCGGAAACCTGGAGAACTACGAAAGCCATCCTGCAGAAGATACAAATACTTATTAACAATTGTCTACGCAAAATACCTCCAACACATTGACCAGACACTATCGGCAACAACCTAGTGTGGGAGTGAACAAAGCAGATTCCAGTGGAGGAAGAAGTCAGGGAAATGTTCCGGAAGTGGATAGGACGCAAATTCAGGAAAGCACCCAACTGCGTCACAATGCAAGCACTCACATGGAATCTCGAAGATCAAAGGAGAAGAGGAAGATCAAAGAACACATTACTCTGATAAATGAAGACAGATATCAGAAGAATGAACAACATTCGGAAAGGACTAGAAAGGAAAGCAGAGGATAGAGTGCGTTGGAGAATGTTAGTTCGCAGCCTATGCTTCATTGGGGTAACAAGCGCAAGTAAGTAATATAAACTCAGTGACAATCAACATTACTGACTAACATTAACTGAATAATTACTGCAAATCTGAGAGCACCTAACTAGTGATCCAGGACAACAGTCAATAACGTTATGTGGTGATATGGTATTTTTTGGTTCGGTCAACTTTAATTGTATTGATTCTACCGCTTCAATATTAGTCGCATTTACAAACAGAAATTGGTGGTAGCTAGAAAATATCATGAAGATGTTCGTGTATTCAGAACGGCTAGCTTACCAATAAACAATTGTAAAAGGATGACATTGATGTTTGTTATGAATAGGAAGGAAAGAAATGAACATAAAACTCTTAGGTGTAATGCCTTTAGCATCTAATTGTTAGATATCGAACTACATAACACAATATCTTCCTGATTTATCCACAATCATATAAGTACCAAATAACATTGTTCAATCTATAAAATTATCAAATCTCACTTACATCATTGAAACTAAATTGATTCAATATAATGAGAACGATGTAAACTACTGCTTGTAAAGTGAATATAACAATGAAGAATATATTGAAAGATCTTTTTATATCGAATCGCTTTAATCCGCCGAATATTACAGTCAGTAATGTGATTCCCAGTGTAATAAACCAACTACTTGGAATCCATAGCTTTTCCAATTCAGAAAGTGACCTTGAAGCTGGGATCGAGATAATCATCGACTATCAAATAAAAATAAAAAATAAAATGAGAATCAACGTGATAGATCATCTGTCTTCCAAATAATCATTAATTATTTGAATAAATGTAACAGGTATGTAGTAATATTTGACAGTATGGTGTAGATCACGAGTGTAGATTATCTCTGTCGAATGATTCAGGGCCTACTTGAATGAGACGGGAATTGTGTGACTAACTAGTCAACATCGAAGACACACCTCACAGTCACCAAATCCATTGGTAAGGCCAACGGTGGTGTGCGTCCTCTCTCCCTCTCGAAATGCTCTCACATTGTCACGCTTATATAGACTCTGTCAGCGAAGTCTTATTCACTGCCTTCTCGTAGCAGGGTTGTTCGCTGCGAAATTGAGAGGATGAAAAGTGAATGTCCGGTGTTTTAATCGGGTTGGTGGACACGGTGCTTCTACCTAGGGGAGTTGGGAAACTCTGATTCCAAACCAACGGTGCACATGGGCTCCAGTATCCTGAGGTAACATATGTATCTGGTGCCCTTTTGTACTAATATTTATGTGTTCAAATAAATAAATGTATAAATGCGGATAGCCCTTTCGACGTATCAAAGTATTACTTTTGCTTTGAAGACCGCATAACACTGAGGACGTTTTTATAGAAATATATTAGTAAGAGTAGGTACAGGCGACATCGTGACCACCACCACCACCACATGAATCAGTCCATACCGTACGATTAACTTATGTACGTTGGTTATCCGTGACTTTGATAGGGATCGACGACCTGTTCGATATTCAATTATTCAACTGCCAAATGATTTGGCCGGAGATCAGTGACAGTTCACTGACCCGACAATGGGAATCGACAATAAAGTGGGAAATGTAAATTTTAAATGTTTCACTGTGTTGATTGTTACTCTACATTTATTTGAATGTAAGTAGTTAAGAAATATATTGAATCAAGCTATGAATGAGCATTGGTTGACAAATTACTATTGACATTAAAACTTCACGATCAACGGAGTCAAAAGCCGCCTAAAGGTCGAGAAATACTACGATTGTGGGACATCTGAATGTATGTCTATGTTCTAGGACCTGACGTAGGGTGAATATCTGGTCTATAAAACCATGTCCAGGTGGGAAGCCAGCCTGGTTTTTTCTAGTCTGCTCTTCACGGGTTTTGGTTAGTCGTCAAAGTATTATTGAAGCTAATATTTTAGACACTATATTAGTGAAACTGACCCCTCTGTGATTGTCACAAGAGGACTTTTGTCATTTCATATAGACTGGCACAATCAGTGATTGGGACAAGCCAGATGGAATTACGTCCAGTTCCCAGATTCCTTTTAAGACCTCAGTCAATCTCGCTGCTAAAACTGGACCACCACCCTTAAAAATCGCAGGGGCAAACATGTCTGGGCCTGCCGCTCTCCCTCGCTTCAGATTTCCTATAGCTTTTTCAATCTCGTAGAGAGCTTGAGGACTTACCTCAATTTGCCATTCAGGACGACTGGGGATCGTCGGTAACTGAAGTGTGGCTGAAAGCCAATTGAACTGATCCCTAAAGTGTTCTGCCCATCGATCCAATCTCCTGGATTGAGAATGAATGATATGCCCATCTTTATCTGAGATTGTTTCACCGACAGTTGGGTTCCTAATACCGGTTTCTTTAACAAGTCTGAATAGCTTTCTGCTGTTACCTATTGCCGCTGCCATTTACATCTCTTCTTCTTTGGCTACCCACCACTGTTCACGATCATTGCGTAGGCTTCTTATTAGCCTTCGCTTAAGCTGACTCCGTTCTTCATTATGTTCAGAGCCAGGTGGGATGAGTTTTCGAGCATCTATCAGTGCCGTAGATGCTTCCGAGATCCATTGTTTCTCCTTGACATTAAGGTTTACCTTACTAGCGGATATCACTGCTGTTTCCACAGCTTTTCGGATGTCATTCCACGCTGCCTCGGGATGGGCACTACTTTCATGGCTGTCTAACTGTTTTTCTATTTGTTCCTGAAATATCTTCTTAGGTTGCTTATCGGCAAGTAAAACCCTAAAAGGTTTCCCTGAAGTATCTTTCCTACGTCCAGTAAGACGCAGACAGATACGTGCTCGCATTAGAGCATGAACTGAATCCAAACATGTTCCCCAGAATGAGCGACAGTCTTCTATCGAGCCCCTCCATCGGTGGCTGATAGCGATGTGATCTGATTCCGTCCAACGTTAGGTAGAATTCGGGGTTGCCATGTCAAAAGATGTTTTTCCTTATGCTTAAAGTTAGTATTTGCAAGAGATAGGCGGTTATCTGGGCACAGCTGCAACAGACGATCGCCATTATCTGTTGTTTTAGCCTTGACATCATAAGATCTACCCAGATGTCCTTCCCTTTCACTTAATTTACCTAATTGAGCAATAAAGTCACCTGCCACCATTACTACATCAGAACGCCTAGCTTTTCGGAGAAGGTCGGAAAGTTTCCTGTACAACTCATTTTTTATATCGTCTGAGCTGCAGTCAGTGGAAGAGTAGGCAGAGACGACGAAGAGGCAGCGATGAGTTTCTCTATATTTCCGAGGCCATACTGATCCGTTTAGTCGGACAGTGCATAGAAGACTGTCTACTGGGATCCAGTCTAAAAGAACTAGTTCTGCCCTAGGAGAACTAGAAGCAGCATCAGGGCTTCCAGACACACGAAGCGTGTATCGAGATGGTTCTTTATTTTGATATGGTGAAGTCAAATGAATTACTCTACTCAGATCTTGTATGCGCGTTTCGGAGACGCAACACACATCGGTTGTGTGAGATTCTAAAGTCCTAGCTAGTGAGGCCTGTTGTCCTATTTGGCACAGTGTTCGGACATTAAAAGTTCCTACACATAGTTAGAGAGTGGTTTCAGGAGACCAGGAATAACGTTCTATGTACTCGAATCGTTTGTCCTAACGGTGCGAGGTGATAAAAGGACGTGGAAAGGGTTAGTCGTTGAGACAAGAGATTTATTAAGGGTACTGCTGTCACACCTCTGTGCAGTCAGCAGTATAACTTCGCCTTCGGATCTTGGGATTGCTGCTTGTAGTCTTACCGCTCTTCAACTAACCTGGTAGGAACTTGAGGAACGATTGTTCCAGACAGTATAGCTCGATTGGTTCATCACGATAGGCAACCTCGACCACCACGTCAAGGTAGCAGCAACGGTCGTGATCGAACTTACAATATGTCTACTCATCTAAATGACGAATCATTGTGTTGCAGTCAGCATACTTCGATGGTTGTATGCGATTAACAGGAAGTTGTAGAACTAAGTTTCGTACTGCCAGATAGTCGTCAACATGATGAATGTGGTTTATTGACTAGTGTCAACTATTAAAAACACGTATGGTCAAGGTTCTCTTATGAATCTATCCAACTACCCAACATCAGCTACAAAGTCAATTTCATGAAGCGATTTAAATTTTCGGAATGAGATATCAACTTTACATAATTCATCATGGAAAATTCTAGAAGCTAATGAAAAGGATAACCTAAGCATTCTTCACTGACTCAACTAATTAGGATGAAATGAAACTGTGTAGTTAGTTAACCAGTCATTTTATCTGTATTAATAGGGAATTAACCTAAATATATACTATCGAAATAGATATTGTGACATCAAATCATATAATGGTGATAATGATCAATATTGTCAAGTATCATTCTTAACTACTTACATTAAATACCAATAGTATGTAGTTCCATGGAAATTTAAATTGTAGTTGTTGTACGAGAGCCATCTCCAAATCAATATAGAGTCCTGAAAAGCTGTAGTAATACACGTAAATATAGATTGAAAATAAAGCTCAGATTGGTGCAGAAATAATGACTGATATTTTAAAGATCGGAAAATAGTTGGATAGATATGAGTAAATCATGTAGAGATTTTGATGGTTATCCATTGAATGAAATGGATAATTGTTAACTTACAACACGGATTCACCAGTCTTAAATGGGAACAACCTGAATTTGACTAAATTGTGTTAGGGTGAATTGATGACTATGAAGCAGGGGTTACAATTTGATCCTGTTATATCCTTTCACCACATATTTTATGGGTCATTCATACTACTTACTGATACAAAGTAGTTTGCAGTGTATCCAATCGTATTCATAATCTGTTTATCTTAAAACCTAGTTTTAAATTGATGAAACTAATCAGTGAAACACATCCGTTTATAATCCTATCACTCTACTTCTATTATTAGTTTCCCCATGTATTCACGTTTAATATCCTTACGTTTCTTACTATTCTAGCTTTTTATACGTTGAACAGTCTGAATAAATAATGAAAAGCTGATCGAAACAATGTTAATTTTGTGTAGTATGACGATTACTCTGAAAGTGCGGTTAATAAAGAAGTGAGTTCAGGAAGTAATACAAACATTTAACTGTTATGTTAGACATTTGAAGATGTAGGACCAGTGAAATGTCACTAAGCTCTAGTCCAATCATCCGCTAGTTGAATCATCACATATCGAATACATCATCGATCCCTGTCAAAGTCACAGACAACCAACGCACATCAGTTAATCATAAGGCTTGCACTGGTTCCGTTGGTGGTAGTGGTGGTAGTCACAGTGACGCTTGTACTCACTCTACCTAAAATATTTCTATTATAACATCCTTAGTGTTATACAATCTTCGAAGCAAGCATAATACTATGATACGTCGAAGGGGTAATCCACGTTAGATGCTGTCTGTGAGTTATGTCTTCAACGTTGACTGCTTTATCACATCATTCCTATCTCACTCGAGTAGTCCCTGAATCATTCGAAAAAGATCATCAACAGTGATGAACAACAAACTATTTACACAGTCTTCTTTCAATTTTAATAACTTACATGTGTCTACTCATTAATTCAATAGATACTACTGAATGCTAATTTTTTAAGGACACAACACCTTTATCACAATGGAAATAGTTAAACCAAACAATTAATAACTTACAAACATAGCCCAACCAACCAGTTTTGGGATTGTAACCAATTCTTGAATGCATTACTTAATATAAATAGAATCAAATGTTCCGATAATTCCAAATGACTGAGATAAACTTACATTAGTATAACAAGAAGATTCATTCCCCATATTATTGATAGTTGTAGAAAAGCTATAGCGCCCGCCTTACAAATTAGATACCATTTCATTTTGTTGTATTAAATTACCTTCAGATAAAAATTACCACTGGTTACTTGTTGATTTGGTTCTATTCTAATCTAAATATTCATGTTATGGTGTAATTGAATAAATAAACAAACAAATCAATCAATAACCTACTTGGTTACTATTCAATTCTGTTAAGTAATTTACTTTATGTTTTTCACTTAGATCTAAAAAGAATATGAAATTAAAACTGATGAAATGAATTCAATAAGCAAAGATGAATAGTTGGACATTAACTCTGAGACGTGTCGTTCCATAAACGAGTTGAGATGCAGTGTATCCAATGTCAGCTTTCACTGCATTGCAGATACCTAGTAAGACCAGTGGAAGAGCGTCTATCCACGGTGAATTGTTTGTAGCTGATAGAGAAGCTTTTAGCGGTCGGTGAAAGCGTTCTACCAAACTGTTTGCTTGTAAGTGGTAGACGGTCGTTCGGAAACGAGTAATTATTAATAGTGTGGTCAGATAACGGAAAAGTCATGATTCGAACTGACGTCCGCGGTCTGTAGTGATGGTTGAAGGGCAGCCGAAATTTGCTACCCATCGTTCGACGAAGGCGCGAGACACTGTTTCTGCAGTAATTTCCTTAATAGGTACTGCTTCTGGCGATCTAGTGAAACGGTGTACGCAGGTTAAGAAATCCATTTGAATCGGGTAAGGGTCCTACCAAATCCAGATGAAGATGGTCGAAGCGAGTATCAGGAGTTTTGAACGAGCCTTAGGGACATTTGTTGTGTCTAATGACCCTATATTTCTGGCAGCTTACACAGGAGCGTGCACACTCCCTCACGTCTTTATTCATACCAGGCCAGCAGAACCGTTCTGCTATGAGCTTGATTGATGCACGAACACCTAGATGAGAAAGATTGTGCAACGTATTGAAGACGTTTTGACGATAATGTTTTGGTAGGATTGCACGATCAATACCTGTAGATGTGTCACATAGTAAGGTTTCATTACCTGTTGCCATCTGTTTAACACGCAGTTTTAGAGTGGTTGAGGATAACTCATGCTGAAGATCGGTGTCTTCTTTTTGAAGTTGGGCGACTTTAGGAAGGTCGATTCCTTGGGAACTGTTCAAGGAAGTTATGCAAGACAAGGCGTCTGCGACTACATTGTTTGCTCCAGAAATGTGTTGTATATCTGAAGTAAACTGCGAAATGCAGTCCAGTTGTCGAGACTCGAGGTGAGTACTTGTCTGAGGATGAGCTTAAATAGAAGGTAGGGGGTTTGTGATCGGCAAAAAATGTGGATTCTCTTCCTTCCATGGAATGTTGGAAATTCTGTGCAGCACAATACATAGTTAGGAGTTCAGTACCGAAAGTGTTGTACCTCTTTCAGTGCCTAGCAACCATCTGGAGAAAAATCCTAAAGGTTGCCAAAATGGTTAACCCATTGCTGAGTCAAATGCGTCTACGGTGATACTGATGGGCGCTTGAGCGTCCTGATGTGCCAGCATGGTTACCTTTGCGATATGTTCCTTAACTGTGGAGAATGCTTTTCACGCGGTGTCGTCTAGAATTATTGATTTCGCAATTCCACGAAGTTGGTCGGTTAACGGTTTCAGAATGGATGCGGATTTCGGTATGAACCGTCTATAGAAACTTACAAGACCTTCAAAAGTGCGCACCCGCTTAATCGTGGTCGGTTCTGGGTAATCCATAATGGCCGTCACTTCGCTTCTAAGAGGTCGGATGCCTTGGGCATCAATGGTGTGTCCTAGGAAGTCTAATGAGTTGGTTCCTATTTGGCATTTTTGAATTTTGACAGTAATGTCATGCCTTTGGAGTCGTTCGGAAACAATGTCCAGATGCTGGAGATGTGATTCTCTGTCCGGACTTGAGATCTCGGAAGACGTCATCTAGAAACCTTTAGACGTTTTGAGCAACATTTCTTAGACCGAAAAGCATTCGCGAAAATTCGTAGAGGCCTAAGGGAGTGATGATAGCGGTTTCTGTAATGTCTTCAGTAGCCATAGATATTTGGTTGTAAGCTTTAACTAAGTCGATTTTCGAAAAGGCAGTTGTACCTTTCAAGGTAGCTGTCAAATCGTGAATGTGAGGCAACGAGTAACGGTCGGGAATGGTTTTAGCATTCAGACGCCGATAATCACTAGTTGGACGCTAATCATTGCTGTCCTTTTTAGGGACCATGGGCAAGGGAGATGACCATGGGCTATTATTATTATTATTATTATTATTATTATTATTTCTAAATCTATCATTTGGTCGAATTCGTTTTTAGCCAACCGAAGCTTTTCGGGAGCTGGTCGGCGTGCTTTCGGAAATACAGGTGGTCTTGTAGTCGAGATGTGATGTGTAACATTGCTGGTTACAAACGATAATTTCGGTTGTGATTGATATATCCCGGAGTTTTTGTCAAGTAACGGTTGATATAAGGGGTCAATGGTGTGCTTAATTGTGACGGGGGATAATCTGAAACCAGAAAGAGGAGTTACACAAACAGATAACTTGGTGTTACCATCTATTAACCTTCGTTTGCGTGTGTCGATGAGTAGATTGTGGTATTGTAACAGGTCTATACCAATGATTGACATGGAAATATCTGCGACCACGAAAAGCCAGTGAATGGGTTTGCGTAAACCCACGTTAAGGTAGACGTACCTTTTACCATACTTAGCAATCGGTTTTCCGTTTGCCGCCTGCGAGCTTAAAACAGGCTCGTGAAGCCTGTTGTTAGAATTCGCGGGAAGAACGCTAACTTCTGCGCCAGTGTCGACGAGGTAGCGAACTTTCGTTGTCACATCCGTGACATATAAGAGGCGGCTATGTTGAATTCGCTTGGCAGTGTCTTAACGACCGCGAGGAACTGTGTGAGTGAGTCTGTAATGCCGTGTCCGAAAAAGTCAGTTTCTGAGTAGCAGAACCAGGCTTCGATAATTTCCGGCCGAAAAAGCATTAACTGAATCGAGGGTGGGGGATAGTCTTTAACTTAAATACTTTGAATGTCTGTTCCTTCATTGTGAAAAATCAAGTATTATAATGAACGGAAAATAAATAATTCAAATATATCCGAAGACTCAAAAAAAGAATATATCACAATATATAAAAGTCAACTAAAGTAAAACAATGATCTATGAAGTTCCAAGAAGGAACAGACTCACAGTTTACTGTTTGGTGTACCAGATCACATCAGGCTCACCACTAAAGATACTACCAGTATTGTAGTTTGACAACTATCAACGAGTAACATCTTCTATAATCGAATCGTGCCCCACCCAGTTAAAATCAGAAGTCAGAAACGAAGAGGTTGGAAAGATATATTTGATGCGTTATCAATATATCAAGGAGCAATTGTTCTAATCTGGCTAATGATCGTAGGAGATGTTTCACACTATGTGCTGTTACGTGATCTGATGCGGATGCATGACCGAACACCTTCAGCTAAACAAGTCCGCTAAAAGTAATTTGGTCAGCATCCAATGTCGAACGCTTAATGATCTATTGATTTTGGGGATTCATTTACAGCTACACAACAATAGGAAGATATGTGTGTAAATAACATCAAATGCCACTAACTTAATAATTCTTTCTATTCAATCAATATTATTCACTTACATTTCATTGTAACAATCAATAGGGAGTAACAATACTACTTATAATGATAATAACAGTAGTATTTCGATTAGTATTAAAACTGTATAGATAATAGAGAATGAATGTTGATTTACGATTAGAATTTGCTTTATTAATATAAAACAAGATGATCTTTGTACTATCATACAATCAATAGATCAGATGAATTCTGTAAAAGATCAGTCTAGTATTTAACAGATAATTAAACCAATACTGATATATTCACATATGAAGGTACAAAGTTAATGGTTGTAATATGACTGACATAGTGGCATTTTTTAATAAAGAAATACCTTACCTTCTATCAAAGGTGATCCGGTTAACATTGAATGATGATATAATCAAATGAATGGTCTTGAAATTTGTATAGATTATATAATTTATTTACTTATGTACTTACGTAGCTGAGTGGATAACGCGATGGCGTTTAAAGCAAAAGTTACTGGGTTCGAGTTCCAGAGTGAATATCAACTCTGAGGTGTGGGTACATCCAGCTGACCAGTCACAAATACAATGAAACACGCGTCCTAGATTTCACTGCTAGCCACTATCCATCTTTGTTTACAATGATTGTGAATTTAGGCTATATCGAGGCAATACGCACATTATGCGCATATGTCAATTAGAGACTGACCAGTTGCAGTCCTAAACATCAATGGGAAGATTCAAACAAACAATATTAATTGTACTGTTTGATTACTGAGCTGTATCTAATGTTATGTTACAACCCCATTAGTGCTAATCGAATCGCGTCGACTAATTCGTAATGTGACCATTAATTTTTAAACTTCCTTATATTAGGATGGTTGGAAGCAATCAACAGGAAGTCTCGAACATCGGATTTGTGATAATGGGTTTTCGTCACTGGTGTACATGTTCTCCGTTGTATCCTCGACTTCCATCCTTCAGCTAGTTGGATCATGATTGACCTCCAATGTACTACTCAAATGTTTACATGGAGTAGTCATATGATAAGAAATAGAAAAGTTGAGTATTGGAATAGTGCGTTGAACAGTAATTATGCAACGGTATTTTAAAGTTCACTTTCTTACCACATGATAGAAAACAGTTAAATTGACAGACTGTTTTTCCTATCATTATTATTGTGAGAAACTATTAAATTGTAGAGATCTCAGTAAATCTGTATGAACGTCCACAAGCTATTTGAAATCATCATTATGTATCAGCAGTGCGCATCCACAATCCCGACTCGCAAGATTCGAACCCAGGACCTATCAGTCTCGGGCGCGAGCACTTAACCGACAGACCACTGAACTGGCCAGCATCCAACGGTGTTAATGTCTAACCTCAATCATTTTGAAAGTAAGATAGTTGTCATGGATATGAATAGTTGACAGTTATGTTATATCAATAAGGAAAATTCTATTGTTGGATATATGAATCAGTAGAATCACACAGAAATGTGTATAAGTAGTCAAATGGTGGCGAGACTAGAATTTATGGCCGACCTTTGAACGAAGCTTAAGTGACCTTGAGAAATGTTAGCCAATCAGCAAACAGTCAGCATAAAGTAAAAATATATTATAGTGGAAACCATGAGTCAATTGAAGCTAGACCACCATGGAAAACCTGGTCTAGCTTCAATTGACTCATGCTTTCAACTATGAAACATACCAAATCTCCACAAAAACCCTTCTAAAAATATATTATACAAAACCATAGAATTAAAGTGCATACACTTCTTTTATATGATCCGAAAAATTGTCAGGGTTAGGAAGAGACTCAATGATTCAAAAGTCGTAATGCATAAGGTAGAGGAACTCATCCATATGGCTCCATATTAGTCGGTCTCTAGAACCATGAAAAAGTCACAAAAACCCTCTCAGCCTCGACCACATAGTTTCATTATTGTTTGTGTGTACTCCGGTTGTGTAAGTTTATCACTTTTATTATGGATATATCTTCACAACACTCATACCACTGAACAGCCAAAGCTTCAGTGACATCCGCGATTATTGCAACCAATGATACTGATGCTTTTATTATACAGTTTGCGGCATTTATTATAATATGCCTAAGTCTCAATCTGGATCGAGTGATAAAGGTTCGTATTCTAGCAAACATCTTCCTTCAACATATATTACATCGGAGGACAACATCACAGTAGTCTGTACAAGGTCTACAATCCATTTAATTACCTTAATTACAAATACAGGAACTTCTTAGTAGTATCATTTGTTGTAGCCGCTTAATTGTCAAGTCTTCTCCAAAAAACCCTCTGTAAACCGATCATACATAAGTATCAGGCGCTGAAATTGGCGCCGTAACCTTGAAATTCGTCAAACGCTTCTGATTGGCTCGTTAATAAATTATATTCTCGCCGATCAAAGTTTAATCTGAAGAAAAAAATTTTTAAAAGTTCATCTATTGTTTATCTTTTATAAAAAGTACCTACCTCTATGACATCACCATGCATAACCAATTTATTGGATTTCATACAAATCGTAAGGTATGACTTTGAAGAAAATTAAATAAGATTTCCGTTACATAATAAATTATATTAGCTTCAACAATCATTATATTATACCGAAATGAACTTTGCTCACATCGATTTATACATGAACACAGATTAAAATTTAAGTAGGTCTGATATGTTAACACTCAGATACATATGTGCTGCACAAATCTCATCTGATTTGTGTGAGAGCTGTGATACTGCCTAGGTGCTCAAACTGAAGCAGGTGGTTTTCTTAGTGAATCACACACGGAGCCTTTGATCTAAAGGCCTGATCCACAAGGCAATGGGGTATCATGAGGAGATGCAGTCCCATGGTAGTCGGTAACCAACAATTGATTCATACGCCATTTGTTCCCTCAGGATTCTGCAATCCGTGTGCATCACTGGTTTAGAATCAGGGTTTTCCAACTCCCCTAAGTGGACGTTCCTTATCCACCAACCCGTTTAAAGCTCCGGACATTCGCTTTTCGTCCTCTCAATTTCGTAAACAACACCTCAGTGGGGAGAAGGCAGTGCGTAGGACTTTTGTGGTAGTGAATGTATACGCGTTGCCACTTGAGAGTACTTCGAGAGGGAGGGCAGAATCTCCCCACTCTCGGCCGTACCAGGGCACCACTCAGATGAGTGTACACAGACAAGCATAGATAAGAATGTGATTGTGAAGGGATCAAAATTCTAGAATTGATAATTTCTTGAGTCTTAGAACTCATATCAATTCACAATAAATAAACAAATCAATATCAATTTGATTTATTGATAGATGCATAGAATGTTAGTTGATAACATTTCAACGACTTAATAGAACCATCCATGGTAATACAATAACACCCAAAGTAAACGGCCTGGATAAACAATCAATTATAAACAAAATACTGAAGAAAGACTAATTCAGGGCATTTACAGTAATTAAAAAGCATAGATCTTCATATATTTGGTTGTGATGATATTCAGAACAACAACCAGAACTTCATAATTAAACCCCTGAAGTCAAAAAATTGATACCATCAAGAGTATCTTGTAGCTGTAAATAATTACCCAAAATCAATAGCCTTTTAATTGTTCGACATTGGATGCTGACCACATTAGTTTAAGTGGACTTGCTTAGCTGAAGGTGTTCGGTCATGCATCCACATCAGATCACGTTATAGCACAGCGTTGGAAACATCTCCTACTATAGTGAACAGAACACTGGTTGGGGACAATCGAATGTATTTAAGCAAAGATTACAGACTATCTCAATAAATTCTGGAAACCATACAATGTACAGTCAATTTGCAAATTAATAGTCTCGATCTTCACTGATTCTTCTCTAATTCCATTGTTCGTGCATTTTCTTGCCGATTGCGCTTCGTTTCAGTTCTTTCGTCATCGGTCTTCTGCCAAAGTACATTCTATGTCTGACCAACACCATATACTACTTATATAGATATAAGTAGATCACACCACACTACCATCACTAGCCAGATTATATCAATCGCTCGTTAAGGTGCTATCAAACTGCAAATACTTGTGATATCTTCAAATGCTATCGAGATGGATGACTCTAAATTACAAGTTAAAAATTCAATTTTATTTCAGTTCAATGTATCTAATCTACCGGAGTAGATATTGATATTTCATAGAGTTCAGATAATGTGTCAATTGAAGCTAAACTAATAGGGAAAACCTGGAAACACTGGACGGCCATTATGTCCCATTGTGGGACTCCTCGTCAATGCGTTTCCACGATCCTGCATCTCGAGATTCGAACCCACGACCTACCAGTCTCGCGCCAGAGAACTTAACCGATAGACAACTGAGCCGGCATCCAACGGCGTTAGACATAAGCTGATGACATTGGTGAATGGTAGCCCAATTTCGTGGATCGGTTGAAGTTACACTTAAGTTAGACATTACCACGGTTGAATGCCGGCCGGTCCAGTGGCGCGAGACTTTCAGGTTCTGGGTTCGAACCTCGCTCTCGAGGCGGGATCGTGGATACACACTGCTGAAGAGTCCCGCAGTGGGACGAAACGGCCGTCCTATGCTTCCAGGTTTGCCATGATGGTCTAGCTGCAATTAACTCATGATCTCAACTCTATAAAATTACTAAAATCTTCACGAAACCCTTTTCTCATATTGATATTTATTTAAGCTTTAGAGATATAATATTTTGTGTCCATTCTGAAAAATATCTTTACAACTATTCTTTTTCATTCACATTCTTCTACTAATAGTTTGTCATTTTTATTCATTTTGAAATATGAAATAGAAATTCCAATTCACTTGGCATTGTTTACTTCTATTATCTCATTGTTGTTTAGCACTGTAATTGATCAATCTCTTGTTGACATATGTGCATACTGTGTGGGTTGCTTCGATATTGCCTTAATTCAAAAGAACTATAAGTAAAGATTAAATGGTTTGAATGATGTTTTTCTGGTTAGCGGAGGGAGAATTCAGGAAGTAGCGCTGGAAGTGGATAGGACACATATTGAGGAAATCATCCAACCGCGTCACATGGCAAGCCCTCACATGGAGTCCTGAAGGCCAAAGGAAAAGAGGAAGACCAAAGAACACATTATGCCGACAAATGGAAACAGATATGAGGAGAATGAATAAAAATT